TGGTAGAGGTAGTTGTAAGAGTTTATTTAACACTCTTCCAAGAAATAGCTCCCCCTGTCATCATAAAAACAAAATCAGAAGTAGATTTTCGGTCGTCAAGGCAACCAACAAAATCATAATTAGAATAATCAATGACCTGAAGTTGATCAGACTTCTTATAAGTCAACATATGATCTTTAGTTCTCTGTAAACATCTAAATACCTTTTTTACGGCTTTCCAATGACTCAAATCCAGGTCGCTCAAGTATCTCCCTAAAGCATTAACAGCAAAAGCAATCTCAAAATGAGTACAAACTTGAGCATACATCAAATTACCAACAGCGGAAGCATATGGGACCTTTTCCATTTCAAATCTATCATTATCATTTTGAGAACATTGAGATTTAGAGAGTTTGTCACCTTTTTGAATAGGTGCAACACATAGGAAGTAAGAATGCATGTTAAACCATTTAAGGACTTTATCAATATACCCTCTTTGAGACAATCCAAGAATGCCACGTGACCTATCACAGAAAATTTGAATGCCTATAACAACAGAGGCATCACCAAGGTCCTTCATATCAAAGTGACTATTTAACATAAATTTTATCTCAATCAAAAGTTCAACAATAAGAAGAATATCATCAACATATAAGACAAGAATGATGAAATGGCTCCCACTAGTCTTCAAGTAAATGCACTAATCTTAGGCATTTTCCTTGAAGTCAAAAGAAGTGACGACCTGATCAAATTTAAATACCATTGTCTAAAGGCTTGGCTTAGCCCATAAATAGAGTTTTTCAACCTGCAAACCAAATGCTCCTTACCTTTTTCAGCAAAGCCATCAGGTTGAACCATATAGACTTCCTCAAATAAATCTCCATTCAGAAAAGAAATTTTAACATTCATCTGGTGAAGCTCCAAATCAACATGAGCTACTAAAGCCATAACAACACGAAAAACATCCTTAGTAGAGACCAGTGAGAAAGTCTCCTTATAATCAATGCCTTCTCTCTAACTATAGCATTTTGCTACAAGTCTGGCTTTATACCTCTCAACTTTACCATCTAGACTTCGCTTAGTTTTGAAGACTCATTTACACCCAATTGGTAAATCGACAAGATCCCAAACATCATTATGGGCCATAGAAGCTAACTCATCATGCATAGCATTTAACCAATTAAAAGCATGAGAAATAGAGATAGCCTCTCTAAAAGTGGTAGGATCAAGGCTTATGAACCCCTGTAAAGAATTCACAACATGAATAGTGGCACCCGAGTCTAACCACCAAGAATTTGGAGGAACATCAACCACATTAGATTCAAAACAAGCAATAAATTGCACACTATGAGACTTGGTCTTTTCAATTATGCTTCCTCTTGGGAAACAATGGTAATCATCTCATCAATTGTCCACTCCTTTTTCTGAGTGTAGTAAGAAGTCTTTAACACATCAAACTGAGAAGGAAGAGATTCCAAAACCTGCCAAATCAAATAACTCTCACCAAGCTCTACATTTAGAGACTTGAGCTTGTTATAGTAGTGCACAAGCTTTCATCATATGCTCACGAACACCACTGATACCATCATATTTGGTTTTCTCAATAAGAGACAGATATTGACCCTTTTGAGTTTTGTCAAAAGTCTTAAATTTCTCACCAACTGACCTAAAAAAAATCTTAGCCTTATCATTTTTTGGAATGCTCTGTCAAATAGACTTCTCCATGGTGTATTTCATCACCATCAGACACCTATTTGAGTGTTCCCATTTCTCACAAGAAGTTTTCTAGACAACACTGGACTTAGGAGTAAGAGTTGGAGGCTCATCCTGTCCATATTAATAATTGTTAGATATAAATCTAGAGATTCTTTCCAGCTCTCAAAATTTGTCCCATTCAAAATTTTGACTGAAGTCAATTGCATAAGCAAAGAATCCGAAATCAAAACAACAAAGAAACATTTAATATGCATAAATATTATGCAATAAGAAAAATTAAATGTTTCTGAAGACACAAGCAAACATACCTATAATATAAAATTTCTCATTCATTGTGATCCGCCTAATCCCAAACCATAATAAATAAGAAATACAAAATATAACGCACAACTTATATAAGATAAATAAAACTAATACTGATAGGGTACTTGACAAATAATTAACATAAGATAAAATTAAAAACGCATTGTATCATAACACCAAAATACATTAACAACAAAATACGGATAGGACATAATTACCATTAATGTAATATAAAATTAATTAGAAAAATAATTTAATTATTTCATTCACACAAATTTTATATAATTGTACTCACGATAGCTGAGCTCACAATCATATAAATTATATTACTCATGCTTAACAAAATATAATAAAATTATATTATGTATGAACAACATATAAAATAAGTACAAAACAAATAATTATTAGTACAAATAAGGGTAATTTTTTTTAATTCAAGCCTAAACATGCTACCAAGGAGAGTACATCATACTAACATGTCACTTAAATAACAAGAAACATACAAATAAGAGTCTTTTCTCATGTTGTTCAAGATCGACAAGAATAAATCTTTCACCGATTTTATATAATTGCACATTGTTATTAATTTATGGATAATACATATTGGGCTTCTGATGAATAGTCAATGATGAGTTGGACTGTTCAGTAGCTTGTTGAGAGGTCCCTAGTCTCTACTGGTAAGGATATAGAACTGGTACCCATTAGTCAGTTCATATGTAAAAAACATTTTCTGTATTTTTCTTTTTCATCTCTTACCAAGAAGAGAGCAGTATTTTCTCATGTTGTTCAAGATCGACAAGAATGGATCTCTCACCGATTTCGATCTTCTCTCACGTTGTTCAAGATAGATAAAAATAGATCCCTCACCGATTCCAGGTATATAATTCTTATTATACTATATTCAAACATATTATAGTATTGTATCTTATATTGTTCATTAATTGTGTTATTACTATGAATTTTAACGATTAATTCTAATTATATTCACCTAAATATATTCTAATTATATTAAAGAAAATGGTGTAAGAATAATTTTTTGTGGTTCAACTTTAATTTAAACATTTATAACAATATTATATTTATAATAATTATGTATTTTTATATACAAACAAAACATATATCATCTTGCAAAGCATGAATACACGCACTAGTTGTATACGAATGATAAAATTATATCTCAACTTTAACTTCAATATTTATAATCAAGTTTTTCTTAATGCATTTATAATCAAATTATATTTACAATTATGTATTTTTATATACACAACAAAATATGCATATCGTCGTGAGACACACTTACTCCCCGTCGCGATATATTACAATTTTATATCAGATATCTCATATTTTTATTTTTATTCTGTTTTTTATTTGCTTAAATATATGACTTTTTAATCTAAATTTTAATTTTGATACAGTATATCTAATTCTAATAGATAAAAATATTATGTGTCTTAATTTACACAATTTTATTCTTAATAATTTTACCCTAATTTAAAAAGCTTTTATTTTATTACAAAAAATATTATATATAATATCATACAAAATATCATTATAAATATAAAATATATAAATATAAATCTATTTAATATATAGTTATACATAATTTTAATATTAATTTTAAATAAAATTTAACAACATATATAATATATTATTATAATTTATATCTTTACGTTTTAACAATATATTATGATATTATATCTTCCTTCATCTCTCTTTAATAATGAGTAGTCAATAACTTATACTGTGAGAGAGAGAGTTAAATTCTGCGATGCTGAATTCTTTTGTCAAGTAATTTTGGTGTTGTCGATACAGAAAGTATGTCATTTTTGGCGGTCAAAATTTCACTTTATGATAATTAAAAATCATCACAAATCACATTTCTTATATTTAAAATAATTGTCTGATTTGCAAGGACCAACAGTAATTTGTTGTCGAATTTAACCAAATTAGATATTTGATCCGCGCGATGCATTCATATATACATATATAAAATATAATTTTAAAATATTAAAAATATTTTAAAATTTATTACATGAAACTATAAAATTAAATAATTGTAAAATATGTATTGAAATAAGAAGAATATAAAGTTTTTTATGTAAAAAAAATGTAGCAAAAAAATATGATATAATTACATCTACTTTACATATGAGTGTATGAAGTGAATTAATAATGTCTTAAATGAAACATGAGATATATAATAGTGATTTAATTTTTCATGTTAAAGTGATATTACTTTATTATACAGATGAATGTAATTGTGACAAATTTAGTGACGAAACTTGTTCCTTTATTATTGATATAATTAAGTGTCATAAATTTTATAGCAATATTTATATAAAAAAAAGCGTCAGAAACTTGTTCTGGTATGTCTAAAAAATTTCACATCACTTAGAAGTCAAAGTTAATGATAATTTATAAATACTCTCTCTCCTTAACCCATCAAGATGTTTTTTAAAAGATAAAACCATGATGATCCAACAAGTATCAAAGCAAATAATATCTTGAATGTCGATAATCTTAATGATGACAATAAACTTATAAAGTAATAAATGATTTAAATGTATATTGAATTTTTGCTACAGTTAAAATATAATAATCACATTAACTGACATTTAAAATTCAAAAGAATAAATTAATTGATACTTAATATATAAAATACTTATTTTATGTATTATAAAATTTGACATACCAACATAACTAGAAATTTATTGGATCAATTTTACAATAAAAAATTCGAGTGATTCAAGGTATAAACCTATTGAATATATATGTTGGTAAAAAGTAAATAAATCTGTTAAATATTAGACATATTGAAATACTTATCCAAAATGATATTGCAACACATCATGCAAAAAGAATCTAATAATAATATGTTTTTAATGATTCAAAACGATAAGTTTTATATTATTAAAACGATTAAAAATTATTTAAAACAATATTTAGAGCATCACACATTATTAAAGAATTTAATAGTGAAATTAAATACTTTAACAGAAAAATCGATCTAAACAATTGTTATAAAAAAAATTTAAAATGTGATAACAACAATGTTCCTAATAACAACTTTAAAATACTACTACTCCCAATACATGTAAAAAGAATGTAATTAAAAAAAAAAAAAAAGATGCATCCTAACACTCTGCTTCAGCCTGCTTCTCAGCCGGTTTGACGAATTTTTTCCAGTAAGGGTGTTGTTGCCACACACAATGCATTTCTTCTATTGGGACTCCTTTAGTTTCTGGAAGAAACTTGTAGATGAAGATATTCATGATCACCACAAAAACTCCGAAGAAAATGAACAGTCCAAACTTCATGTGACACAACATGGCGGTGAAAATTTGGGCAATGGCAAAAGTGAAGATCATGTTGGTGGAAACATTGATACTTTGAGCAGCAGATCGAACTTCAAGTGGGAAAATCTCACTGGGTACCAACCATCCTAAAGGACCCCATGACCATGCAAATCCGGCCACATACACACATATAGCTATCACCACTCCCATCGCATACCATGTCGGCAACACACCAGGGTTTCCATTTATTCCGAACTTATATGCAATTGCCACTGTTATCAACATCTGCATGCACACCCAAAACATGTTTCATTACTCAAATTATCGAACCAAAAAGGCAAAAACCAATACAATGAGACATAAAGATTGATTCCAATTCCAACATAAATACTAATTTTTATTTTCCTTTCCTTGTTTTCAATCATCACACACCATACAACATCCATGCCAAATCGCCATCGTGGATTAGAATATTATACACGAGTCTTAAATTTTATCCTGTTATCGTTAATGGTAATTCAATTCGATAAAAAAGAAAACAAAAAAGAGAAGTTGGATGCATGCAGTACCTGACAGACAAACATTTGAGCTCCACCAAGTAAGAAAAGAGTACGTCTACCAAATTTGTCAACCGAAGCAATGGAAACAAGAGTGGCGACGGCGTTACAACCTCCAGTGATCATAGCAGACATGAGGGAAGCATTGGCACCGAATCCAATGGTTTTAAACAAAACAGGAGCGTAGAATGTTATGACATTCATGCCAGTGAGTTGCTGAAAGGCTGGAATGGCAATGGCCATGGTGAGATGGGGTCTGTAGTGCCTCGTCAGCAAAGAAGCCCAAGGGTGTTGCACCGCTTTCGACGATTCACTCGCTGCAACCAAATCCTTAAACTCTTCCTCAACGTCACTAGTGCCGCGAATCTTTATCAACTCTCTCTTGGCTTCCTCCTCTTTACCACGCTCGATCAAGGAACTGGGTGTATCGGGGAGAAAGATTGCACCTAAGATAATCATTATTGCAGGAACTGCAGCAAAACCCAAACTGTAGCGCCAGCCTTCTCCGTTCTCCATTTTGGAGAAAACGTAGTTTAGAACATTGGCTACAAATAAGCCTATCGTGATCAACAACTGGAACATCATGTTAAGAGCTCCTCTGTACTTGTAGGGAGCAATCTCGGACACGTAAATTGGCACAGACTGATTGGAACATCCGATGCCGCAACCAAGAAGCAAACGACCAACAATAAGCATCCACACGCGTTGGGCGAATGCATTCAATCCAGCACCAGCCAAGAAAAGCACACCACCAGAAATCATGGTAAGTCTTCTTCCAAATACTCGAGTTACCGTTGATGCTCCGATGGATGACACAAGAGCGGCCAAGTATAGAGAGGATGTAAACAACGTTAATATTTGGCTGTCGAATTTGCAGTACTGGTTCACCGAGGCCTGTATGTTGTGCTCCTTTTGGTACACATCCGGGAAAAACTTCTTTAAAAATGGATCCATTGATGTAACTCCACCTGTCAATGATCAACGAATTATTCATCATCATAAACACTTCATTGTAATGTATTATTACAACACACACATTGAATGCCAATTCTGGATGAACAAACAAACCTGAGATGCCGAGATCGTAGCCAAAAATTAGCCCTCCAAATGCAGCAACCAAACAAGTGATGAAAACCCTGAAAGTAAGCTTTCCGGGATAATCTTTTCCAGAGGCATTGCCTCCTGCTATCACACCTCCTGCCATTTTGCTAACTGATGGAGGGAATACAATAAAATTCAGAGATTTGTGAGTAGTGACTGAGGGAGAGCTTTATGAGCAGCCACTGAGAGAGGGAGAAAGGTGAGTGAGTGCTCAACAACGCTTCCATAGCTTCAAATATATAAGCAGTTCAAGGATAATTAATACAAACAAGAGATAATCAATTAATTATCAACACTTCCAGATTATAGATTTTAGATAAAATTCACTCTATTTATCTTTTAATTAATATCTTTAATATTTTTTATTTTATAATATTTTGACTTTACAAATCTCTCTTTTCTTCAACGATCAATTAGGTAAAATATTTACTTATATATCTTCAACTACCATTCTGATTTTCTTAATTGTGTATCTTTTCGAAAAAGATAAATTTATTTTTTTAAAAAAAATATTTGTTTACACCGTGTGTTCTATCATAAATGAGTTTTCAAATTTTAACATGTGTTTCCATAAAATTTTAAATTGTTTTCTTAACATAAACATAAAAAGTAATATAATACAACTAACATTGCATGTTTTATACACGAGAAAGTCCGAGTTTTTATCACGATGAATAAAAGTATCATTAATTAAGGAAATAACAACAGCGACATAAATTGAAAATATAACAATTACATGATAATTAATAATAATATTTATGACATAATCTTTAAAAGTCTGATAAATTCGAGAGCAGTGCTATGTGTTACGAAACAATTAATTAAGTATAAACCATGTAAAATCTGTGTTTATATATAATTGGATAGATGTTAATTTTTTTTTAGTTCAATGTTGCTCCTATATAAGATGAGATGTGAAGAAGAAGGAGGAGCCTAATCCTTGGTTTAGCATGCTCAAGAATGAGATGATCAAAACATTTTTTCTTTTTTGAAGTACTTGTATTTTCTACATTTGTAAAAAATTGCACATTACTTTATTTAGAATTTCAAATGTGATATCAAGTGGAAAGTTTGAGAATTTTCAATACCCTTTTATTCGGTGCTTGTTTGTTTAATGGTTGAAATAGAGTTCTCATCATCTTTCATCATTAAATAAATAAATAAATATTCTACCCCGTTTGTTTGTTCAACAGTGGTTGGATATTAGTACAGTAGTCAACGAGAACGTGAAATTTTCCATTAGATTTATAGGGAAGGCAGAGACCTCTCCTTAGTCTCGCGCCCAGCGCAATTCAAATTGCGCCCAGCGCTGACAAGGTAGAGACTCCCAAGGATTCTCACGCCCAGCACGACAATTCAACAGATCCACTCAAAGAGTTTCACATTTACTCAATAAGGGTTTTCAATTATTGGGCCCCCAAAGTGCCATATTAATATCCATATTATCAGATTTTTCAACTTCTAAAAATAATATCTCTTTTAGTTCTAAGCTAATTAACATGCTTTAATGCCTAAAATATTCTCAAATCAACATCTCAACATACATCATCTATATGCATTACCCCTGGTCAATGAATATATAGATCAATTAACATTATTCACATCTAGCATATCAATGCTTATTAAGAATTTCAATCGCACAACATCTACATATATTATCCCAAATCTATACATAGAACTATCATCATCATTCACCATACAACATATAACTATCAACAATTAAATCATTAGTATACATTATCTCATATCAATGTATAAAGAACTAACAAAATATATCAACATGCACATATAATAGATACAACTATCACATACATGTTTAATTCATAATTTCACTCATTCAATCATGTAAAACAACCAACACAACAAGATATGTGAAGAAGATTACAAGTAAAAAAAAAAAAAAGAGAAACAGATGCTTCAAGCATCTTAGAGCTCGCTTAGAGCAATGAAAATTTACTCCAACTGCGCAATAATTCTCTTAGAGCAAACATAGGCATAAGACGCGACTAGAAGTCTCGATCTAGTCGCTTAAAGCAAGTCATCCCTTGCTCTAAGCAAATGAAATTCACTCAGAGTGCTCAAGAATTCACTCTAAGTGAAGAAAGTTAGGGTCCACCTCTACAACACCACATCACCTCGCTCAAAGCGAGTAATTTCTTGCTCTAAGCAAGCCAAGTTAGAGACTTCTCTTGAAATGGTTGTACATGCTCACTTTGAACGACCCCATTGACACTTTGAGAGCGGACCCAAAAAACATGCATACCTCAAGAACAACAAAACAACTCCAAATCCTCTAATCCATTAAAAAAAATTTAAGCTTGCAACTCATAATTTATCACCTTCTCCATCATCCTATAACTCAGAAACCGCATAAAAACCACATGCAACCATCTGATGCAACAAGGTTGTGGATCTCTTCATCTTTCACCAAGAACATCAAAGTTCCACAAAATGCAACACCCACCCCCAAATCAAGCATACTATCATGCATTCAACTAGAGTCTAGGTACATGCAACACTACAATCTATTAAGACCAACTTCTAGTTTCCTTTATCTCGACTTCAAGCCAAGAGAATAAAGAAGAGGGAAAAGGAAGAAGAACTTCGAGTAACATCGAGAGAACTTCGCAATGACTCTGATTCTCAACTCTACGGGCTTCGAATCAACAACCAACTACTAATCACCTCTCCGGTAGTCCTGAAAAGCTAGAACAAGGAGAAGAAGAATCATCAATTATACTCTTTTTTTTCTTCTAAAGTTCTAAAGAACATGAACTTGTACGTGAGACTCAATTTTTAATAGAAATCTTATATACTTTTTTTCTCACAAAGTCAATTAGACCTTGGATGAGAAAACCCTCAAAACTAACCAAACACTTGAGAATTCCTTAACTCTCAGAGTCATTCAAGCACCGCACATATATAATTATTCTTAAAAAAAACACCAATTAAATAGAACTTAAAATGTTATAGACATCCAAATTTTTTATATATAAATACTATAGTATTTTATTTTATCCGTACACGCATAAATCTTAAACCCTAAAATATATTTATTATATTTTACAATTAAAATTTGAAAACTTTTTAAATAATTTATTAATTAAGCTAAATGATTCTATTTGTAACGTTTTATATGCCACATCAAAATGTATTGGTCATGTTAGATTTTCTATGTCAGTATGCACTTATCATGTTAGCCACCACATCAGCATTTTTAACATGTCATTTTTTTTAATAATATTGACCGCAAACAGATGCTTGTATCAAAATTATGTATTTAGAAAAATTTAATGAACAAAAAATTGAAAAAAAAATCAAAATTATGCATCATAGAAATTAATAGTGAATTTTAGTCTATTTAAAAAAAGGAAAATAAGTATTTATATATATATAAATAAAAAAAAAATAGGAAAATGAGTTTTTAGTTAGAATAGAAAACTAACTCTACTTTTATTTTTCCACTCCGTCTTCATCTTTTGTTCGCTCACCTGCTATAATAACTTTTTTTAAGTTAAGGTTTTTATTTTGTGTTTTAATTTTAAAGTAGCTTTTAGAGGGAGGATAACTAGATAAGGATAGCTAAAAAGTGACGTAAAACTTAAGTTAAGGTTTTTATTTTATGTTTTAATTTTAAAGTAACTTTTATAGGGGTGAAAGCTAGATAAGCATAGCTAAAAAGTGACGTAAAATTTTATACTATAACAACAATTTCTAAAACTTTCTTTTTACGTACACATACATATATTTGATTCCATTTTTCATACTATAAACTCAAGTTATATAATTTTAATCTCTATTTAATTGTGTTAATAGGTTTAGGGTTTAGAGTTTAAGTCATAATTTATTTTTTTATATGACAACTAGGTCTCTCATTAATTAATGTCTCATTATTTTTTTTTAGTTTAAATATATTTTTAATTTTTATAAAATTGATAAATTTTAATTTTAGTTTTTAAAAATAAATTTCTTTATTTTTCATTTTTATAAAATTAAAATTATTATTTTTAGTTCTTATTTTTATATGGTTATTTTAACTATTTTTTATTTATTACAAAAGTTAAGTAATACATATATATTGATATTTAACATTTTTTTAAAAATTATAGGCCATTAAAATAAATATTATTTATTTATTTTAAAATGACTATTAAGGACTAAAAATAGTTAATTTAGATTTTAGAGAGATGAAATTGAAAGAAAAATAGTTTATAGAGATTAAAATTAAAATATAATCATTTTACAAGAACAAAAAATAATTAATGTTTATAAATTTTAGAAAGATAAAAAATATAAAAAAAAACATTTTAAAAAGATCAAGATCATCAATTTTACATGAATTAAAAATATATTAAAAAAATTTTTTACCAAATTTTGCTGATATGACCTGTTATAAATGACATGGCACAAATATGCTTACGTGACAAGTTAAAATATGTAATAACGTAGTTGCCTAACAAAAATACACGATAATTGAAGTTGCACAATCAAATTAAAATACTTTAGAAAAGAAAAGTATTTCGACTGACATGTTTGCTTGTCACAAAATGTCATCCTTTACCATGTATAATCCACTCTAGAGATGACAATAAATAAATCGAAATAATTATGAAAATAATTTAAAATTTAATTTGATAATTAGTTTAATAAATTTAATTTATGAATTAAATAACTTAAATTTAAACTAAAAATTAAGTTCAATAAATAAATAACTTGAATTTGACAAAAATCGTTATTCTTTTACAATGTCATCAATGATAAATGAATGTAAAATTATTAATAAAATTGTAACAATAAATAGAATTAAAATTTTAGACAAATTTATTTATTAAATATTTTAATTAAGTGATAACTGTGAGATCCCTTTTATTCTTTTCCTTTTCTTCCCGAACACTTAACTCTCTTTCACTTTCAAAACTCTCTCATTCACTCCTTCTTCTCACATTTTCTGATTCACTCTCATTGCTTGAATTCAAGGTGCTGAGTAGGTGATTTTCTTTCGGAACCGTGCCGTGCGGAGCTTCTCATTCTTCCACTTCTCTTCTCCATTTCTTTCTCTTCCCGGAGCTCGGAATCTTGCCCGAGGTAAGGGAAGCTGGTTATTTTTGCTGTGTTTGGCTGTGAAGGAGTCTCGAAACTCATTGTTGTTTGATGATTGTTGAATTTCGTGTTGAGATTGTTGAAAAATGGGGTTTTTGGGGTCTTCGGAGTTTTTGATGAATTGTGGTTGCATGTTAATAATGGGACGTTTTTGTTGATGTTTGATGGAAGAGGGAACTTTTTGATGGTTTGCATGTTTGTTTCTGGCTGTTTTTGCAAGTTTTGGCTAATTTTTTTGAAAATGGGGTGTTGCTGCTGAGCCTCGCGCTGAACGTAGTTCTTCGCGCCGGGCGCGTGGCCACCAGGAGACCCCATTTGGCCAAGCTCGCCTGGCGCAATGATGAGTGCGCCGGGCGCGCTTGAGAATGTGGGTCTCTGGCTGACTCACGCTGGGCGTGACTTGGACCGCGCTGGGCGTGATACCAGTTGTGGCAGGTTTTTGGGGTTCTTATTGGCCGCTGAGCACGACCCTTGTCGCGTCGGGCGTGAGACTCATGGGGAGTCTCTGCCTTGTGGGCACTGGGCGCAATCTGAATTGCGCTGGGCGCGAGACCAAGGGAGGTCTCTGCCTTCCCCGCGTTGGGCGCAGGTTTGGGCACGCCAGGCACGTGAGACTCCATGGAGTCTCTGCCTGGCATGTGTTGGGCGCAATGGGTATTGCGCCAGGCGCGAGTGAGCCTTGGGCTCTCTGGCTGGGTCCCGCCAGGCGCGGGCATGCTTGCGCTGGACGCGCTGGCCCCCTGGTGCTCTCTGGTTGTACTGTGCTGGGCGCAACTATGAGGGCGCCGGGCGCGGAGATGAGAATTTACTATGTACTGGTTTATGTTGTTTTATGCTGAGTTGAGTTGAAATGGATGAATATGATGTGATGACTAGTAGATAATGTTGTTTGATTGATGTTGAGTTGTATCGGATGAATATTGTTGTAAGATGTTCTGATGTATTGCAAGATGGTGGTTGTGTTGTAAAGTTATGTTGTGTTGTATGTCGATATGAGTTGTTGTATAAGGGCTGAGTTGTTGTAGGCCATAAGGGCTGAGATGTTGTAGGCCATAAGGGCTGAGTTGTCGTAGTCCATAGGGCTGAGTTGT